TCTGAACCCCATTTCTCCTTTGTAGATTCCTTCATTAAAGAACACATGATCAGCAGCCTGTTGTACCCCAAGGTCCTGTGTCAAGCCTTATCTGCTACCTGCTCCCTCCTCAACCCACTGCCTCTGTACCCCTTTTCTTCCTGCCAGGTCTCAAGACATGGACTGGCCACTTTACCATACAACCATGAGTTTATTGCATTCGAAATTATTTCAGCTGTACACATCACTCTGAGCCCTACTCCCCCGAGGAGCAAAACACACACACACGCACACACGCACACATGCACACACACGCACACACACACGTTTTTTAAGAACAGTGAAATTGGGGTTTTTAAAGATTTATTTGTTTGTTTATTTGAAAGGGTTTTGTATATATGTGTGTATATGTATCCACACACATAGAGAGAGAGACAGAGCTGGTTCACTCTCCAGACTGCCATAAAAGCAGGGCTGGGCCAGGCCAAAGCCAGGAGCTAGGAGCTTCATCCAGGTTTCTCACATTGTTGGCAGGGTCCCTAACACTTGGGCCATCTTCCACTGTTTTCCCAGGCACATTAGCAGGGAGCTGGATCGGAAGTGGAGCAGCCGGGACACAAACTGGCAACTACAGGGATTGCAGGTGGTGGCTTTACCCACTACACTACAACACCAGCCTCAAAAAGTGAAATTGTTTTGGTCTTTTTAATCCATGCCTACCATTCAGTATTGTATCTATAAATTAACACATTTTAAATTCATTATAGCAAAACTCAAAACTTAGAACAGCTGTGTAAGGAGGTTATGTTCCACAAATAGTTGTCAATGCAAACTTTAGTTCAAATCCTGGCTCTGACCTTTACTAATGTTTTGACATTGAACAAATCAAAGAAGCACCTCTGGTTATAGTATCCTGCCTCCTAGGGTTGTTATGAGAAGACAGAACATGTACACACTAAATACTTACCAGTACCTGACCTTTAGAATTTCCTCATCAATGGTCACGACTTAGAGTGCTTTTAAAATCTCTCTTGTTGTATGATGTATGCTGGAAACCTCACAGAACAATAAAAGAGCATTCTATAAGATTTTCTACATGATTGCTTAAGAAGAGAAGTAGATTCAAACTCTGACTCTACCTATACCTAGCATCATCCTGATGGCCAGAAAACTTCTGTTTTGAATCCTTGGTAAATGTTCTAATTCACAGGGTACCTGGAGACCAGAGAATGGTTCCATGTTTTAGTTTACTGAATGCCCTGCTTGCTCTTCTTCCCGCCTCCCCCTCTACCTGCCCTGCCCCTATCCCCACACCAGTGTTCTTGTGGAAGGTCTTGAGAGAGCCTTTGTGACCATATTAACGACTATGTTCTGTGCTTAGGTAAGACTTTAGCTGTAAGAACCTGACAAGCTGCTGTGCCTCAGACAGACTCCAAGGCTGGCGGAGAAGTGATAGGAAGCATAGCTGGGGAACTGACTAGGAGACAATGGCTGATCCAGGCGAGGCAGCCAAGTCTTCTCTTCACAGCACCCCTGAGGACACTATGCAGCCATCACATCTCATGGAAGTGGCCAGTACAGGGGACAACCAGTTGAACTGCCAGAACACTACTGTTCTGCCAGAGGTGCTCAAGAAGCAGGACGTGACAGAATTTCTGTGAACAGCTGGAGCATTCCTGACCAGGGCAAGCTCCAGCTCCCGGGGAGGAGCCTAGAAATATTTGGGCCAAATATCTGGACTGCGTTTAGCATAGACCCTAGCTGCAGTAGTGAGTGGTGGTTAGACTTACGGGGGTCAGGTGAAGGATGCGAATCCAGAGCACATGCCTAGCCACAAATACCAGATCCAGGTAAGGGATAGGGTGAGTATGGGGTACTGTGATTCACTTATACCAGGCCCTGATGCCAGAAACAAGACTAAAGAGGAGAGGGTGGCCATCCAGGCTTACGGAATATCACTTTGCCTAACCAATTTCATTTCAAGTGTTCATTTTCTAATTAGTCTTTTTTTAAGATTTTTATTTATTTATTTGGAAGTCAGAGTTACACAGATACACAGAGAGAGAAGGAGAGGCAGAAAGAGCAAGGTCTTCCATACGTTGGTTCACTCCCCAGTTGGCTGCAATGGCCGGAGCTGTGCCGATCCGAAGCCAGGAGCCAGGAGCTTCTTCTGGATCTCCCACACGGGTGCAGGGGCCCAAAGACTTGGGCCATCTTCTACTGCTTTCCCAGGCCATAGCAAATAGCTGGATCATAAGTGGAGCCAGGACTTGAATTGGCGCCCATATGGGATGCCAGCACTGCAAGTGGCGGCTTTACCGGCTACGCCACAGTGCTGGCCCCAAGTCTTTAAACTATACATGTGTATCATATTTACTTTCCTGTCTATATGAAGTATCTCCTAGGAATAAATGAGGGCCCTTGGAGTGCAGTGCTAGAAGAAGATTATGAAGACTTTACTTTTATGTTGGTAGTCCTGCTACCAGGCAGGAGCGCTAGTAAGAACATCTTGCAGTATTCTGTTGCTTGAAATTCATTAGAGAGGTCTTTCCCAAAAATTTATTATTAAAAATAAAAGTTCTTTTGTGAATCACCCAAAACAGTCTAGAATACCAAAGGGATTTTAGGCTTAAATTTGTGCCCATGGCCGGCGCCGTGGCTCAATAGGCTAATCCTCCACCTTGCGGCGCCGGCACACCGGGTTCTAGTCCCGGTCGGGGCGCCGGATTCTGTCCCGGTTGCCCCTCTTCCAGGCCAGCTCTCTGCTATGGCCAGGGAGTGCAGTGGAGGATGGCCCAGGTGCTTGGGCCCTGCTCCCCATGGGAGACCAGGAAAAGCACCTGGATCCTGGCTCCTGCCATCGGATCAGCGCGGTGCGCCGGCTGCAGCGGCGGCCATTGGAGGGTGAACCAACGGCAAAGGAAGACCTCTCTCTCACTGTCCACTCTGCCTATCAAAAAAAAAAAAATAATAAATAAAAAAAAAAAAAATTTGTGCCCATTACCAAGACACTAGTATTGAAAATATTTGAATACATTTATAGGAATAAATTTCATGTGAATGTTTAAGTTTATACACAAAATAAGTTATACAAACTCTATTTTTCTTAACTTTTTTCTCAAATTTTTAATGTGAAATCACCTTCTATCTTTACAAACACAGTATACAGATAAATGGAAATAAAAGCAGTACATCTGTACTATCCAAAGGATGTTAACTATTAGTTAACTATTAGTTATTATGTATTTTTCTAGATGTTCTGAGTATCTTTTTAAGTAAATGATGGAAGATAATATACATTTTTAAATATTCTTTCTGGTTAATTTTTTTAAATCACTAAACCCATCCAGAACTATTTCAGTTGACAAATTTCTGAAAAAAATTGGGACAAATTCAGAACCTTATGTCACATCAGGCTTTCCTCTTAAGTGTGATCTAGAATATTCCATTTGATCTCAAACATCCCTTTTTTGAATGTTCCCTTTCTAAAGTTTTATTACTATAAAGAGAACAGATTTCATGTATTGCACAGATACAATCCTAAGACAATAAGCATACTTGTCCCCCCTTCCCTCCTCCCTCCCTCAAACTCTCCTCCTTCTTTGCTTTTTGTTTCCTTTAATTTATACAATAACTTTTTTGTATTTCATATATACAGTTTTAAGAGCATAACGATGCTTCCCACCATATCCTCCCTTCCCTCCCCTCCTTCCATGCTCCCTCCCCCCCTTTATTTTTTTTTTTTTAAGATTTATTTATTTATTTGAAAGGCAGAATTACAGAAAGCAAGAGGCAGGGGGAGGGAGGGAGGGAGAGAGAGAGCGAGAGAGAGAGAGAAAGAGAAAGAGAGAGAGAGAGAGGTCTTCCATCCGCTAGTTCACTCCCAAAATGGCAGCAATGGATGGAGCTGGACCAATCCAAACCAGGAGCCAGGAGCTTTTTCTGGGTCTCCCACATGGGTGCAGGGGCCCAAGGATTTGGGCCATCTTCTATTGCTTTCCCAGGCAGTAACAGAGAGCCAGATGGGAAGAGAAGCAGCCAGCTGGGACTCCCTGTACCCATAATGGGATGCCAGCACTGTAGGGGGCAGCTTCACCCTGGCCCCTCCCCCTCTCTTCTGGAAGAGACATAGCCAGAAGTCCCGCCTTCTACCTTTGCTTCTGTCTGTTGCTTGATGTGTTTCTGTGTCCCTTGTGCCTCCTGTGACACAGAAATTGAGCACCCCTGGTAAGAATACACTGTAGATGGTGAGATGTGATCACAGCCAGACCCCTCATGCGCTGTTCTGTCTGTCCTGTCGCCAGTGGGAAGTAATCTGTGTCTCACTGTGCTGACATCTTATGAACATCCTTCTTCATCAACTGTTCTCCTGGTGGTTACACTAAGTGACAATCCCCGACTTCAGAAACAATGACAAGTAGGGATATGAAATCCTATTTTCTAAGCCTGTCATTCCTGTTATATTTGTGTGCTGACATGTTCTGTGAAGTACAGATTTCACTCACATAGTGGGACTGTTAGATGACTGGAAATACTATTTTCTTAGTTGTCAGCTTTCAAAGTAAGGAACTTTCACCGACTACCTCAGATGTTAACCATCTCCATGTTAGAAGAATGTAAGCATTTTCTAAAAATGCTCCGGTCACCGTGAATATGATTTCCTGGCCATTTCCAATGCAGCAGGGGTGGTGGTAAAGGCTTCCTGCAGTGTAATTCTTTGAACAATACCATGAAGTTCTAGAGACAGAATCGAAAGCCCAAGTGGTTAAATAACGTGATATTGACACTCACGCCGGACGTGACAAAGCTGGGACTCAGATTTACATCAAGCTGGATCTAAAAGTCATGTTTAATTCTTTAATAGATTTTCATTACAGGTTACTTAAAAGCCAAATTCTGTTTAAAATGCTTCTTGGAATATTTCCCAGTTCATAAACACTGGAAATGGAAATTATGCTTAATAATTTTTATGAGATCTCTTCCCCTCCCTTTTTAATTTATTTTTTTAATATTTCTCACAGTGTGAAGAAAATACAAACCTTCAGGATACTACCCGCTACCTCAAACTTCCCTTTTCCAAGGGCATTTTCCTCGGGAATAATAATCAAGCCATGAAGGCTACAAAGGAATCTTTTTGGATAACATCTCTTCTCTGTTCCACAAAGCTCACACAAAATGGTAATGTACAACAACTGTTTTATCTGAAGGCCCCTGTACCTGCGTGTTCATGTCAATGTTGGTGGGCACAGTTAGCAATTTATTTAAGTCAGCAATTATATTTAAGAACTTTGCACTAGAAAAATTGTTGATCCTTTTGTTTGTGCTTTCCAGTAAAATGGAAAACAGTTGTTAACCCAAGGATCTGTTGAATTCATGCAATTTAACAAGGACTTCCAAATTCTCCCAGCATTGGATCCAAGAAATCATCAAAACTCAGCTGCTTTAGAAAAAAACACCACCACCTTAATCTCTTTTTTTTATAGCTCCATAAACAGTGCTAATTGCAGACTCTAGATTAAAGGCTGTTTTTTGTTTAATGAGATGGATATTGCTTTTCTGTTCTAGCATTACTTTTTATGTCACTGACTGTTTAGCAAGTTATGATTAATAAAGCAAACCCTATCCTTGGCAAATTGTTGTGAAAGCATGGCCTGAAATGAAGGAAGTAAATATTTTGAGTTCTTCATGATTGCCATGTAAGGCTTCCAGCCAACATCCTGAGTATTGTATTAATAAACTAGATTGATTATATTGGGAATAATTGCTGCATAATAAGGTATTGAATCTTTCTAAAAAAAAAAAAAAAAAAAAAAAAAACCCTGAACCTAGTTGTTAAGATACCCATGTCCCATATTGGAGTGCCCGAGTTAGTTCCTGGCTGCAGCTCCTTACTCTTGGTGATATGTGCCTTGGGAGGCAACAGCAATGGCTGAAGTAATTGGATCCCTGCTACCCACCTGACAGACCTAGCACCTCCTAACTCTCTGCTGCTGCTTCTGCCCATCCCAGTCCCAGCTCTCTCGCTCTCGCTCTCGCTCTCTCTCCCCCCTCCTCTCTTCTCTCTGTCTCATTCATAAATAAATAAATAACAGCATAAAACAATCTCCTGTTCCTGGACATTTACAGAGTTTCAAAAGGGCTGCATTTCTTTCAGACTCCAGGGCAGAATTTTTTTTCTTACCTTTCCTACTTTCTATAGGCTGCCTGCAGTCCTTGTCCTCAAGACTGCCATCTGTCTTCAAAGCCAGCAGCTGAGGCATAGTAGACTAAGCCTTTTGGGCGCCAGTTCCTGTCCTGGCTGCTCCTCTTCCAAAGTAGCTCTTTCTCTGCTTATGGCCTGGGAAAGCAGTGGAAGATGGCCAAGTGCTTGGCCATTTGCAGAGTGAACCAGTGGATGGAAGATCTTCTCTCTGTCTCTCCCTCTCTCTGTCTATAACTCTACCTCTCAAATAAATAAATAAAATCTTAAAAAAAAAAAAAAAGCCAGCAGCAAAGCATTTTCACATCTCTAACTCTGGCCCTCTTCCATCTTTAAAGAACTGTTACCGGTGAATGGCAGGGTTCTTGTCTTCACGAAAAAAAGAATTCAGGTGTGAGACAGAGAGTAGTGGAAAGTAAAATAGCAAGGTTTATTTGGGAAGGGACATCCGTAAGAATGGATGGGCACCTCTCCAGACAGAACCTGAGAGAGAGTGCCCAGTCACTCAAACAGGGAGAGCAAGGTTACATGGTTGAGTGGAGAGAGTACACCTGGCCAGGCCAGGCGGGCGGCTCAGCAGAGAGGCAGAGGGCTGAGCGCACAGTCCCCTTGAGGCCGGGGGTTTTTAAGGAGATGGATCTTTGTCTTCACACATCTCCTCCTGAAACAAAAGACTTTATGGATGTAAATACTAAAAACTCCTATCTGAGTTATGAGACAGGGGGAAGCCTGGCTGGCACCACTCTGAGTTAGAGGAAGGGTGAGCAAGACCTCCTGGAGAATCAGGATCCAGAGCAGGGTATTTGAAATGCAGATACTGGGCTGCAGCTGGAAGATTATCAGGCAGAAGGGGCAGGGACCCCCACCTGGCAGGTTATCGGGTAGAAGGGGCAGGGCAGGATGCAAATACTGGGCTGCCCCTGAAACGTTATCGGGATGACTTTGAGATGCATAAGCTGGACATAGACATCTTCTCTCTAGGCCTTTGTCACACACACACACATAAGCTCATATCTGACTTTCTACCTAACAGAACCATTGTGATTACACTGGGCTGTATAATCCAGTGTAAAAATCCTTAAGATCTCTAATTTAATTACATCTGTGGAGTCTTTTGCCAGATAAAGTACACATGTTGACAATTTTCAGAAATTAGGATATGAATGCTTTTGGGAGGCATTAGCTACCACACAAGTAAGCCTGACAAAAGATTCTTTGTCATCAAAACACTTGGCCCTGACTCCTAAATGCGTTCTAGTTGTAGGATTTAAGATGTTAGATAGAATCATGAATTTAGGACGGAGGGAACCAAATGCTGAAAATGCAACTTGCTACTTTGCAAAAGCAGAGAACATTTTCGGGTGCATCTGATTAGGTAAATTGTTCAAGAAATCATTATATTATATTCCCTATGTGGAAGCAGAATCAGAATTCTGTGCAATGCCTGGCTCATTTTTGGAGATTGATAAACACTTAATTGCCATTTTGACTTTGATTACCCTTGTCAATGTAAGACAGCTCAAAATGAGCCAAGGGAATGAATACCATGTTTTGCAAAATGGAAAGAAGGAAGTTAGTTGATTTTTTTGATATTTATGTGCCAGACACATATCTCTGTGGAATAATACAGTTCCAAATTGGGATTAAACTGCTGTGCATGCATTTTACTTGATTTGGAAAATATACAAATCCCATTTCCTCTCCAATTGGGCATTTAATAAGTTATGTAGTCTCTCCAAACAGTTCATTAGAGCAGATTTGTGTTTCATGATGCCTAGAGTATATCTCTCCACTCTCTGTTGCCCAGCATTGTTCATGGATAGGATACCAGGCCACAGCACTGAGCTGAACACCTGCAATTGCTAGATCAAGTAGAGGTTTTTAATTTCCTAAAAGTACAGATCATGTCATCCACCTGTTTTTATAGATATTCATAGCTGGGCACATAGTCCATGCTTAATAAGTATTTATTGAATGGGAATATAGAAAATTCATGTTGTTAATAGTGGTTTGAAGCCAACATATCTTCCAGGGGCTAAAATTCAGACATGGGAGATGGTAATTTACCTAGTCTCACCGCTCCATTGTGAGCAGTCTGGAGACTTGTCAGTCTTCTGGCAGGAAAGATAGACGGTCCCACCCTGATCTGATTGTTAGGATAGCTGTAATCTCTTTCCCTGCCCTGCTCATGAGGGTTGGACTCCTGGTATCCCACTGCTGCTTCTGCGGTGCCACCTTGTGGTCAATGGAGCCACTTCCTACCTCCCCACACCCCTCCTGCTGGGCAGAGAGCCCGGCCCTCCCCTTCAAAGGGAAGGGAAGGAGGGCAGGCGGGGGAAGGAAGGAGTGAGAGGGCAGGGGTGGAGGTGGAGTGGGAAGTGAGGAGTGACTGGCAGGGGGAAATGCATGGAGGGATTATGAAAAAGAAGGTGCCTGGCGGGGAGCAATGCAGGAAGAAGGAGGGAGGAAGGAGGGAGGGAGGCAGCACATAGACAGGGAGCATAATAGAGCCCTGCCCACGTCAGCCTGAGTCTCACTCTGTGGCAATCGCTGATATTCCAAATATAACCAATCACTGTTAAAAAGTTTTCAATCCTGCCCCCAGGGCTTCTGAGTTAGATTTGAATATTAAACATTTTCAAGAATTTTTGGTTATGAAATCACCAATTGCATATTTTAAAAATTCTCCCATTTTTTTCTCATTCTAAATCCCTCTCCTTCTCTTATCCCCATTTGTTGTGGGCAAACATTCCTATTTCATGTGAAATTTGTTACTGTTAAATCCTTTGGGGAGTTTCCCAAATCTGGCTTTAGTGGAGATGGCTTCTCCATCCTCCGTTGATTTGTATGCATTTTCTCATTTCTGTTCACTACATCTGTGTTTTCTTTCTCCTCTTAACTACTTCCTTGATTGCTTGGGGTTTTCTGATTGTTTTGGGGGGTTTTGTTTTGTTTTTGTTTTTTGGTGTTTAGTTTCTCTGTTGGTCTCAGCAAGTCTTAATCAGGCTTTCTCCTAAACAAGTGCTTTGCAGTAAGTTCTTTACTCTTCCCCACGGAAAAATCCTCCTGGCATCCCAGCCACGTGAGCACAGAAGCCTGCCCTGCTCTGTGCATTCCTGCTCTGCAGGCCCCTTCGTGGTTCTCACCACTTTCCCTGGCCTCCTGAAGCCACCACTACCCACTCACTCTCTTTGATGACTAATGAAGCTGGCACCCCAGCTCCAACACCCTTCTAGCTTCTGCCCAAGAAAGATGAGGGAAGAGTTTATTCCCTCCCCAGGTGAAGAGATTCTCCTAGGACTTGTTGGATTCAGGGCCCACACATCAGTTTGCTAAAGGGAGAACACTGAAGGTCTGGGGCTGTGCTTGCCCGAAATCGGGAATGGAAGGCAGCTGCATGGAGGTCCAGAGCTGGCACTGTCAGATCCGGCATCTCACTAGATGAACTGACAATTCACTGGGCCTATTGTCATTGTGCAGAGACCTTGTAATCTTGCACGGTTTGGGTTCCATTGTCAACAAGACTGTTGTTGCTGGGTAGGATTGGTTGCCACGGAGAAAACTGTGGGCTGGGAATCCAATCATGAATAAAACAGGTTCCCAGCTCTCAAGAACTCTCATCTTACCAGGAGGGTGCAGAAAATTACTCCACAAATGTTTGACTCCTGCTCGCTTCTGTTCTTGGTGCTGGAAATACACGAATATCAAGTTCAGCATGTTTTTTTTTTTTCTTGGAGTTTACTGTCCAGTTGGGATATAGACAAATAAATGCACTACTATAATAGGAAGATAGAGAACACATGGAAAGCACAGTTAGTCAAGGACTTTAAGAAGGACTCCTTGGTCTAAGCAACTTCTCCCCCTGAAGGGAATAATTAGAATCCACTGAAATAAATGTCATCCTGGAGAGGGTTAGTCAGAATCATTAGGAACCAGTGATATGAGCCATTGGGCAAGGTGGTCACCAGATGTTTAAGAACTCAACCTTCACCTGTAGAACACTTTGACACGAGAGGCTGCTGTGTTGTGGTGATTAATCTTCCTTTTCTGTTTGGAAAGGTGATATGCTTGATCTTTTGAAATGGAGAACCCACCCAGACAAGATCACAGGCTGTCTCTCGAAGTTAAAAGAAATCGATGGCTCAGAGATAGTGAAGGTAAATACTATTCCATTACTCCTCTTGTAAATTCATAGAATATACTTTTGGAGGGGAAGGACTGATGGTGTTTCATTCATTGCTTGATTACTTCTTTTAACAGTTTCTTCAGGATACACTGGATACTTTATTTGGAATTTTAGATGAAAATTCCCAAAAATATGGGTCTAAAGTATTTGATTCTTTGGTAAGTTCGAATTTATTTCATTAGCCTTTTAGCAGTTTTTCTCTCAATCTTGACTGTAAGAAGATGGTTTCAGAAGTATTGCACCTGATACTATAAGTGTCTGTTTTATAAAGAACCTCAAAAATCCCAATTTGCGTTCAGTTTTATGAAGCTCAGTTTTCTTTTTAGGTTCACATAATAAACTTGCTGCAAGATAGCAAATTTCATCACTTTAAACCTGTAATGGACACTTACATTGAGAGTCATTTTGCTGGGGCCCTTGCATACAGGTAAGGTGCTTTACCTTGTAATTGGTTCAGAAGTCGTTCCTTCTGAGCTTTTCTAAGCAGAAGCAGCTCTAAAGGAAAAGGTAGAAGAGTGTCTAGGAAGAAATGAGGCACAGCGCTGAAGTGTCTCTTGAGACAGTATCTTTCCTGCTCACACACCCTTTTTAATAGCTAGAACTTGTTCTGTTTAAAGGGGCGAAAAGAATTACCTGAATTATGTTCCTGAGACCTAAAATACAAAGTTTTTCCTCTTCATGTCTATATTTTATTTGCTATCCTTTGGTGTAAAATGTCTGAAAATTTCATCTTTTTAATCATTGCACTTCTTGACTATAGATAGATGTATTTAAGGAAAGACGGACTCAGCCGGTGCCGCAGCTCACTAGGCTAATCCTCCGCCTGCGGCGCCGGCACCCCGGGTTCTACTCCCAGTTGGGGGCCGGATTCTGTCCTGGTTGTTCCTCTTCCAGTCCAGCTCTCTGCTGTGGCCCGGGAAGGCAGTGGAGGATGGCCCAAGTGCTTGGGCCCTGCACCCGCATGGGAGACCGGGGGAAGCGCCTGGCTCCTGGCTTCAGATCAGCGCAGCGCCCCGGCCGCAGTGTGCGGCCATGCAGCCATTTGGGGGATGAACTAACAGAAGGAAAACCTTTCTCTCTGTCTCTCTTTCTCTCACTGTCTAACTCTGCCTGTCAAAAAAAAAAAAAAAAAAGAAGGACTCATAAAATACATACTTTGCCTTCATACCTGTTTGACATCATTCATCCATTCATCTGTTAATATTCACTAAGTGCCGGCTGCGTGCCAGGCACTGTTTAGTTGGGCCTCTGTATCCAGAGGTTACATGTGCCCAGATTCAAACAGCCACAACTCAAAAATATTTGGAAAAATAATGTAACTGCTAAATATGTTCAGAATGGTTTTCCTGTCCTTATTCCCTAGACAATGCAGTGTAACAAGTATCTATGTAGCATCTGCATCGTGCTAGGAATTCTGAGCCATCTAGAGATGAGATGATTTAAAGCATACAGGATGACATACATAGATTTTATGCAAATGCTATACCATTTATGTAAGAACAGAGCATCTGCAGATTTTAGTATCTACAAGGGTGTCCTAGAACCAATCCCCTGTGGATACCATTGGACAACTCTTTCTTGGTGGTGATAATGTGAAGACTTGGTCTCTGGCCTCAAGCAGTTGAATCGCTGGAATCTGCCCTTTGATGGTTGCTGCCATTTTAATTTCTCTTCCTTTCCTATCAGCTCAGATTGTGCCAGGAAGGCTAAGAGTGAATAAGTAATGTTTTGCTCCAGCTGGGGCCTGCTTGATAAATGCCAGAAGGCAGCAGCCTTTCTGTGTCATTCCTCCAAATAACCTCTATCCATTGGTTTAACCCCAGATGGCCACAGCAGCCAAATACAACATGACTTTTTGTAGAGGGTGAAATGTATCAGTAGGAATAGTTTTGAAATGTTGGCCCACTGGGCCTAACACCCAGGGTCCAAGAGGAAGAAGAGCACTTCTTGCAACTGAGATGGCCATTGGAAGCTAATGAACAAGAATGTAATATCTGATGTTTCAAGTAGGCTGAGAAGGCAGGAGAGTCAGTCTTAACCAGACAGACGAGGCCTGTGGAATCCTCTCTGGCTGTGGGTGGTCAGAAACTCACTGAGATTTTGTCCTTAAAGCAGCACTTATCTACTGGAACATTCAAGGATTCTTCTCTGACTGAGACAAACATTGCTGTGTGAACTGTTTCCTAGAAACCAAAAACTGCCCAATGTGCAAGGTAGCAAGACTGTAATCTTGAGAACTGGGGTTCGGGGGGGATTTGTTGTATTTCTTTTGAAAAGACTACTTTTCTAGAAATTCTCCTTCTAAGCACACCTTGACAGTAAGCGCTACTCTTCTGACAGGTCATAGAATTGGCTTTTCACGTCTATGAGTATAACTTGGAGGGGAGAGGTTGCATTCATCCCGCCCGACACCCTCTTTCTCTGAAGCCTGAAGATATTCCATTGTTTACCTGGCCACTGGGCAGGAAATCCCAATTCACATTGTCTGCTACAGTAATATTTCCAGGCATTTGCTTAGGCAGTGTCCATTTCTTTGATGTCTGTGTTTACCCATTTAGGAGTCTTGCCAGAAACGTGACTGGTGGAATATGTCCAGAATAGGGGGTCTGGTCTCAAAGGGAGGGGATGTTGTCTCTGTGTTATGCTTCAAAAAGGGACAATGATGTTGAGCTGCAGATTTAGAAAAAATTACATCATACTGCAAATAAATATGAGAGCTGATAGGAAAAGAAGACTCCTCGTATGACAAGTATTGGATTTGTTGGCATTCACTTGGGATTTAAACATTAAACATGCTGCTCCCTGTGTTTCAGAGATCTCATCAAAGTGCTCAAGTGGTATGTGGACAGGATCACAGAAGCAGAGCGCCAGGAGCACATCCAGGAGGTGCTGAAGGTAAAAACACACGAGAGATGGCGGATGATACAGTTCAGCCAAGCTGTGACAGGGTGACGTTAAACTCATTGGCCACCCACTTACTGACAGTAACCAGTGCTGACATATCACTGACATTTCAATTCAAGTATCTTAATCAGCTTATGGCTGCTCCAGAGCTAATGAGATTTGAAGGGATCTTTGCCAGGCTTGTCCACTGGAACTTGCTCAGGATTGGATCCTTGCTCCTCTGGGCTCCAGAACACTTGAATTGAAGTCTAGAATTGGCAGGGGAGGGAGGACTTATGAGAAAGGATGACAGATGAGCAGTGAAGCTTAGAAGTTTCTGGCTCTTGATTCTCCCGACCCAACAGAGACCATCTGAGAACCATTTACCTTAAATTTTAAGAGAGAGTAGAGTGGCTTAGCAGGGCTCACAATGGTGAAGTCAAGTTTTGCTAGGGCTTGTGACTCAACACTGCCTATACCTCTGGGCCCAGTATGCTCAACTGTATATGGAGATGCTAATGTCTACTTGCAAACTTGCTAAAAAAATAATTCTGGAAGGCATTTTCCAGTCACAGCCCTAGCCATCTTCTGATTCCTGTTATTGGATGTCATCCTGTTTGGTATCAGCAGATACCAATAGATAATGTATACATTTTATAAGAAAACCATTTTGTTTGGGACAGGTGTTAGACCTATTGGTTAAGATACCTATGCCCCACGTTGCAGTAGCTGGACTCAGTACCCAGCTCAGGCACCTGACTCCAGTTTTCCACTAATGCAGACCTGGGAGACATCTGTGATGGCTCCAGTAGTGTTCCTGCCACTCACTTGGGAGACCTAGACTCAGTTCCTGGCTCCTGACTCCTGGCTCCCGGCTGCCACCCAGGCCCAGCCTCATCCCAATCCGTTTTGGGCATTTAAGGAGTCAGTCAGTGGAAAGGAGTTTTCTGTAGCTTGTGTGTGTGTATCTGCCTGCCTCTCAAACAAATAAATTCAAAGAAAGTAAAATAAAAGCATTTTGTTAATTATATATTTATCATTTTGGTCTGATTGAGGGTAAAATGCTAAATGGGAATAGGACCTACCAAGAAAAAGCATTTTTAAAAACCTGTTATCTCTTGTTGGCTAAATTAAAGAACCTTCTGAGGATCGAAATCTCTTAGTGCTCATCACTCTCCAGAATTATAAAGAATGTTTCAAAGCTGTGTAAATTTCTCTTCCATTAGAGGAAAATGACTCTTTCCTCTGCACATAAATACCATTCAAAAACTTCACAGGCCCTTAGTGTTTAAATCAACAATTTAGAAGTCTAATGCTATACCATGGGTTATTTATGTCATATCATTTTACACCCTTGACGTCCTTGGAAGCTAACTTGTAAAATTTTCATTTTAAGGCACAAGAGTACATTTTTAAATACATAGTGCAGTCTCGAAGGCTCTTCTCCCTGGCCACTGGTGGGCAGAATGAAGAGGAGTTCCGCTGCTGCATTCAGGAGCTCCTCATGTCCGTCCGCTTCTTCCTTTCACAAGAGAGCAAAGGGTCTGGAGCGTTGTCTCAGTCCCAGGTAATTTTATTCATCTCCACTGAACAGAAGAAAACTACGAGTGTAACTTGCTTATTCTTGCACAGCAGCATAATTGAATGTTTTCTCCACTAGAAAGCTATAGCTGCAGTTTCTCTTTGTAGCTTAACCATCTTTAGGAACAGACTTAAAATCTCCCACCTTCTCAGTGCCACCCGAGTAGAAGGGAACTTGCCTTTCCCCAGACACTTTACTGTCTGTGTGGTGGAGCCATTGTTTGCATCAGCCTCATTTCCATCCAGCTGAAGATACACTAATGACTGGATGCACTGTCACCATCAGCCTTGGGGAAGGAATTTCATGAGAGCCAGTCTGTTGCTTTCCCCAAGCTTCACACTGCATTTTAATCTATCAGCTTGAGAATCATTGTCTTGGACTTGGCCAGATTCTGGTGTTGTTTTGCTTTATTTAACTTGACCCTAATCATCCTGGGACTGATCTTACAAGACCACTGCTGAGCTGCTGCTGCCAGATTCTATTATCTGGAGTGGCCCTACGTGTCTGTCTGTTTTCTTCTGAGACCAGAATCCATCCACTTTCCAAATAGCATGACCTTGAACGTATCCTAAGAGATAATTCTGTCTGATTATCTTTTTCCATATGATCTTAATTCTCTTTGTATACTTTTAATTCTAATGATTTGATGGAAAACATGTCACAGAGAGAAGCAGCCTCTTACCATCCCCCTGGAGACCAGAGATTATGCTATCTGAGAACTAAGACCTAAAATTGGGAGATTAGAAGACCAAACTCAATCCGTAGCAGTGTCGTTCTAATTTGGTGCCATGTGACATATGGAAGGTATAGTGTAGAATTGCAAAGCTACAGAAATGTACCAGCCCTCTGATAACAGTGTCATACTTTTAGACTCTTTAGGGGCTGTTCCTGACCCACTTTGCAGCAGCGGCGTCATCTACCATCTGGGCAAGAGCACAACCCAGGCTCCAAAAATGTCTGTCATTTTGGCCTCTGGAGTCAACAGTGCAATCCCTGTACTACTGACTTCAGTCCCAAATTGCCCACTAAACATACCATGCTTAAAACAGTTGATATCTGAGAAGGATAATCCCACAGGCTGACCCTGGATTTGTTGATATCAGTGTTTTCAGAAGTTTATGTCTTCTACAAAAGTAATTCAAAACTTGAATTTTCATCCTGAACTTTTTCTTTTCCATCTATACCAGTTATAGTGATAAAACTTGCCTAATTCACATCTGAAAAAGATTTTCTGACTCTTAAGAATAATCTCACATCATGGTTTCTTACTTCATATGTACTGAACAGATCATTTCCTTCTGTAGACTTAATTGTACAGGTATTTCCACTGAATCATAATGATCTTCTTAAAGTGACATGAGCTACCATGCTACAGCAGAGTAGAGAAACTCTGCTTTTGTATCTGCAAATCCTGACTACCTCTGCTCTTGATTCCCTAGGTTGTATCCAGCAATCAAAGATTGTTCAATTCCACAACCAAAGAATCTCTAAAGAATCATATTTGATTTTTCTTGCTCTTAGTTTTGAAATAAGAGGTAACATATAAAGTGTATACATAATGTTTCGGAATAGCCTCATAAACTCTGCTGAAGTCATTCTCTGTCATTCTGTGCAATATCTCTTGCTTGTAAATTCAGATGCAATAATTTTTAGTTTGATGCTAAGAAAAAATTCATATAAAATGATGAAATGGTTAGTTTCTGGTTTTGTTTTTTGTTGTTTTGTTTTGTTTTATCAAGCAACAGGAGCTTTGCCCCTGTGTATTTTGGGACAAAGGGGAATGCTACATACCTCTTTTCATGTGAGGTTTCCTTTTTACTCCCACACCTCTCTTCAAAGAAGCAGGGTATCCTGTCTTTCAGTTTTCAGTTGCTTCATAGGGACTGCAAGCTTAGAACAACTTTTATTTATTGGCTTTAAGAAGTCTTATTTATTAGTTGTCAGTTTCGTAGGCTAGAGGTCTGGACAGGATTGGCTGGGTTTTGGCTCAGGGTCTACTAATACCAAAATCAAGGTGTTGGCTTTGGCGTCCTATCTGGAGGCTCCAGAGAAAGTGCATCCATGATTTTTTAGCAGAAATTGATGTCCTAGTGTTCCCAAGACAGAAGTCCTACTTCCTGGATGACTGTCATCTGTGGCTGGGGGAAAGGGAAGAGGTATTCCCAGGTTTCAGAGGCCACTTGTATCCCTGATACATGGCCACTGCATCTGCACAGCCAATGATGGTGTGTTGAATTCTTCTCATTCTTTGAATCTCTCTGAAAACTCTTTCTGCTTCCACCAGAGAAAACTCTGTTTCAGAGGCTCCTGTGATTAGGTTAGGCCCACCTGGGTAATCTATCTTTTAAGGTCAACTGATTAGTACCTTCCATTATGTCAGCAAAGTCTCTTTTACCCTGTAATACAATGTAATTGTAGGAACAACAGGTAGGGGCAGAGATCATGAGAGTCATATTAGAATTCTGCCTACCATATCCACAGTCAAGGTAATCCATTGGTCCAAATTCTATTATTGGGCTGCCTTAAAGGTAGAAACCCAGTTTCCTTGCTCCATTCTGTATTTTTCCATGTGGGCTGCAACTGTGGGCTAGTCCCGTCACCTGAAGGCAGAGCAGCTCTCCAACAATCCTTCAGGTGGGATCAGTAGAGATCCATCCTGGTTCTCCTGGAGAGGTTCATTTAGCTGAGGTGTGAACCAGATTCTCTGATAACATTTTCCGTTGGTAGCCCTGCTCAGAGTGGACTAAGGGCCACCTCAGCTGGTGTAGCAGTGACTCCTGGTTACCCACTGCATGGACAGACTCCCAGTCCTAGAATCCCCAGAAGACTGACAAAAGGAGAAGGAGTAGTGGCCCAAGACTATGCTACAAATTATCTTCCTTTTTTTTTTTTTGTCTTAGCTACCAGAACAGTCAAAACTAAATTGGACTTTTCTTTTTATTTGCAGCAGAAACCCTTAGCTTGTTATAATACAGCCATTTTTCTGCTGTCATCACAGGGTTCTTGTTCCTTTATCCTATTTAGTAGTAGTAGTATTATAAATCTATCTTTCACTGTAGCATTTTTTTTAAACAAAGCAGTATAAAGAAAAAAATGGATAAATTAAGGGATACCTAGGGGAAAATGACTTAACTGACTTTTCAGAAATAAGAAAGCTGGACTGTACTTTGGAAATTTATATTCATTAAATAAAAGATAAAAAAAAAAAGACACTAAAAAAAAAAAAAAAAAGAAAGCTGGACTCATTTTATTTTGTTAAACTTTATCTGATTCAGTTCTTTACAGACTGAAATGAAAGTTATCTACATGTAATCTTTAACAGGGAATACCAAGTTATTGGCTTTAAATATATTTCAGTAAATTTACAGTTTTCAGGAGACAAGGAGCGTAACTGTTGACTGCACCCCGTTAGCACTGTGGTGGCTCTGGCACAAAACCAGGTCATGGCTCTTCCACATATTTTTGCTGCTGCTTCATAGAGAAGTACTAAAATCCTTGAATTTGAATTTGATCTCATGTTTGAATTATCAGCACATGTAGACTCGACCTACTTTCCAGCTACAGTTGAATCTCAGCATATCAGTGCCTCCTTCTCCCCGTAGGGAAAAGCTGGTCCACTCTTACTCCCAATACCCTCCTTTTATGGAATTTTTAAAGGCTGAGTTTGTTTGTTTTGATGTACAACCCTAGCCCAGTTTTTTAGGATGCCCCTTAGGAGTTGATATTAGCATCTTATTTTCTTCATAGAAAATAGTTATCAGAGTTCTTTATTTACATAAAAAATACTGTAATTAAGGACAGGCTTTTAGTGTAGCAGTTCAGATGCTGCTTGGGGTGCCACTTCCCCAGTTGTAATGCCTGGGTTCAAGTCCTGATCTGCCCTAATTCCAGTTTCCTGCTAATGTGGGTCTGGGAAGGCAGCAGTTGATGGCTCAAGTGCTTTGGCTGTTGACACCCCCATGGGAAATCTGGATTGAGTTTCCAACTCTTGACTTGTGCCTGGTTCAGCCTTGGTCAGTTTGTGTGTTTGGAGAGTGAATTAGCAGATGGGAGCCCTCTCATTCTCTCTGTCTGCCTTTCAAATAAATATAATCAATAGTAATTAAAATACTATTCTTGGTCTGCACTCACAGTTCTTTGTTTACAGTAGACCTTGTATCAACCGAAGGGGTTGTTCCAGTGATTATCTTACAAATCATGAACTTAAAACCTCATGAGCTGAAATGATTTGTTCAAGGTTATGGAACTGATTAGAAACAAAACTAGTACTACATATAACCCAGGTCTTCCGATGCTCCATTCCTGTGTTTTTTCTTAAATCACAAATTGGTTTCTTTGGGGAATAGCGTATTTAATTTCTTAAAGATAAATGAGATTTAAATGAGCACCTCAGAAAGCTTCTCCAATAACGGAAAGAAATATGAGTCACTGCTAAGCAGCTCTTGCTGGAACATTCTTGTCATTTGATTATGCTGTTTTGCTGAGTCTATGAGATTTTTGCCTATCATTCTGCTAATGTCAATGATTTTCCATAATCACCTAGTTTTATTTTTTTCTCTGTGCATTTCAAAAAACTGCCCTATTCTACTATACTTTATTATTTTGTTTTTCAAATGTTTGTCCTTTTTGCTTATAGGTATAACTGAACAATTTAACATTCGTTTTCCTGCCATTCAAAAATAATTGTCACCATCCTTAAACTTCCTGATGGTTTGCAGGTTGCTTCTCCTGATGTAACTGGGAGTTGATTTCAGCTTCTTCTGCTTTTTAAGGCTGTGTTCCTGAGCTCCTTCCCAGCTGTGTACTCAGAACTGTTGAAGCTGTTTGATGTCCGGGAAGTGGCCAACTTGGTTCAGGATACTCTGGGCAGTCTGCCGACCATCATGCACGTAGACGATTCCTTGCAAGCCATTAAACTGCAGTGTATTGGAAAAACAGTGGAAAGCCAGCTTTACACCAACCCAGGTAGGGGGGGAGTCTCTTGGAAGTCTCTAGAAAGCCATCATTTACAACTTGTAGTCATCGTGGATCAGCATTAGCCATTCAAAATAAAAATAGAAAAGTACTCTGTCAGAAGCATTATGTGGATGGTAAGTATAGTATTCAGAAAAGTGTGGCCATTGAAACTTTATTCCTGGACAGAATGAAAACTGATGATTAAATTGTTGATTCTAATCACTGCTGTTGGTGGTGTGGGGCATTGTTTTTTCCTACCCTAGATTTCCTTTTTTTGTTTCTTCAGAGTGTCTTTCAGGGTCGTGATGTGATCTTTGTCTCTTCCATTTTTAGAAGTCCTTCATTGGTTTGTGTTCTGACTGTATGAAAGTTTTGGTGTACTGTCGTTTTTTATCTTATCTGAACAGAAAATGACCAGGAACCAAATTGTTTTTGTTACAGTATGTGTAATTAAGTCCCTTTGCCTCTTGTTTTCATCTTTTTTTTCCCTGAAGAAAATAATAGGGTAAGTACCAACGTCATTTTAAAGTTTAAGCAGTTTCCATCAACTTCACCAAATAAAACAACTGTTTACAATAGATTGTACTGAAAATTGTTTTTTGTTTGTTTGTTTTGGACAGGCAGAGTTAGACAGTGAGAGAGAGAGACAGAGAAAGGTCTTCCTTTTCTGTTGGTTCACTCCCCCAATGGCCGCTACGGCTGGCATGCTGCGCCAATGAAGCCAGGAGCCAGGTGCTTCCTCCTGGTCTCCCATGCGGGTGCAGGGCCCAAGCACTTGGGCCATCCTCCACTGCCTTCCTGGGCCACAGCAGAGAGCTGGACTGGAAGAGGCGCAACCGGGACAGAATCTGGCACCCCAAACGGGACTAGAACCCAGGGTGCTGGCGCCGCAGGCAGAGGATTAGCCTAGTGAGCCGCGGCGCCGGCTGAGAATTATTTTTACATATGCCTGCATATACAATTGGCCATCCATGTCTTCAGATTCCTCAAGCTTTAGCTTCCACATTCAGCCTATCTATTTCTTTTTTAAATTTATTTGACAGATAGAGTTAGACAGTGAGAGAGAGAGACAAAAAGGTCTTCCTTCCATTGGTTCACCCCACAAATGGCTGTTACGGCCAGCGCATTGCGCTGATCCAAAGCCAGGAGCCAGGTGCTTCCTCCTGGTCTCCCATGCAGGTGCAGGGTCCCAAGCACTTGGGCCATCCTCCACTGCCTTCCCAGGCCACAGCAGAGAGCTGGACTGGAAGAGGAGTAGCCAGGACTAGAACCCAGCTCCCATATGGGGATGCCGGCACAGCAGGCGGAGGATTAACCGAGTGAGCCACGGTGCCGGCCCCATCAACCTATCACAAATTGAAAATATTTTGTAAAATATGCATTTGTACTGAATTTTACAGACTTTTTTTCTTGTCATTATTCTTTAAATAGTATACTAGAACTATTTACATAACATTCTCATTGTGTTAGGTGTTATATAGAATCTAGAGATGATTTAAAGCATACAGGAGACTGTATGTCAGTTACATACAAATACTGTGCCATTCGATTTAAGGGACCTGAACATATACAGACTTTGGTATCTTAGGTGGTCTTAGAATAAGTCCCCCACAGATGCTAAGGGATGACTGTGTGTGTGTATGTGTGTGTGTATCATTTTTTTAAAATGGGATTTCAAATACAGTAAACAAACCTTTTAAAATTATTTTATTGAAAAACATTTTAAGCATTCAGATAAGAGTACAGCACAATATGGAGAAATCATTAACAAATTTTCACATTACTAGGGTTTGCATTAGATCTTGTACAAAGACATTCATCATAAATATACCCAAGGTCTTCCTGTATATATTCTCACTTCCTTCATAGCAGTTTCTACTGTCAGAGATATCAGTCCCTATTTTATATGCTTTTATTGTATCCTTATAAAAATATATTGTATTATTCATAATTTTTCCAATTTTTTTCTTTTCATCTTTTTATGATAATATTGTTTTTGTATCATTTATGGAGTATTTTTAATACAGGTTGATCATCCCTTATCCTATGTGCTTAGGAAGAGAAGTGTTTCACATTTGGACTATTTTGGATTTTGGAATACTTACATGTGTAAGCTTTTAAAAGTTTGTGAAGAGTAGAATTAAATTAAATTTTTTTGAAATCTTTGCATACAAGGAATCTTAAAAAAAGTTCATAGAAAATGTGAATTATGAAAATATTATGCACAATTTCCAATTTTTTTGCACCAAAATAAACTTATTGTTTAATTCTACATTTTACAAACTTTTGGATATGTGCTTGAACTTCATGAGGTATCTTGGAGATAGAACCCAAATCTAAACACAAAACTCATTTATGTTTTATGTATACCTTCTACACATAATGTGAAAATAATTTTATGCAATTTTTTTAGTATACTTGCATTTTGATTGATCTGTCACATGCGGTCAGATGTGGAATTTTCCACTGTGGAACCAGGTCCATACTCAAAAAGTTGTGGGTTTGAGAGTATTTTGGATTTGGGATTTTTGTATAGCTTTAGATTTTCTTTTGCTGTTGTATAATCTTCCACTGGAATAATAAATCTTGGTTAATTTATTTTTTTTCCTTTTGACAGACTTCTGATATGTATTCTTTTTTGTTTTCTTCAATAAATAATGCTTCAAACAATGTAAAGGAAATCCCATCCTGGAGGAAAGCTATTTCTTGGAGTAGTTTTCAAACTTTGCTGCTCAGAGCCCAGGGCTTCTGTGGCCTGCGGAAGCCAGGGAATGGGGAGTGTGGCATCCCACCAGGCTCCCCAGTTATAACTTAAGAATCACCTCTGCTTTCACCAAACTAAGGAGAGCTCTTTCTTGTCATAGAGAAGTTGGTGATTGCCAGTGTATTCCTCCCCGACTCAGATAATTCTGTTAGGTTAAAATCTTACACCAGAAGAGCAACCCAGGTATCACAGTTACTTCCAAGTGTGGGGAAATTGCGTTGATTGATGCCTCCGGGAGCTGTGCTCTGTCTGTGGCCCCTTCTCCAGTTGACTCATGGCACTCGATAGGCAGTGGAAAATTCAGGACCAGAGAGAGATCAAGGGAAGAAGCTGCTTTGATTCAGCAGCAAATTCAGTGGGTCTCACGGAAGTTGATGAGAATATTTCCAGGAGTAAGAGATGGAAGGGCTCATGAAACCCAGGAAATATATAGGCTTGGGAGTCCATGCCAGAACCCTGGTAGAGAGGCTTGGAGCCAATGTCAAGAAGTTGCTCATGCTGGGTGACAGGGAGGGGGCAATCCTGCCTGCTTGCACCATGGGGGATGCTTCTGTGGAGGACTGTTAGGCAGAAGCAAAAGCAACTTGTAGTCAACAAAGGAAGAAAGCTTCTCTCACCACCGCCCTAGCAGGATGCAGCTTGGCTAGTTGTTTACTGAGTCATCATTGAAGCAAACAGCAACTGTCATGTGTGAATGACACATCAGGAAGAAGTATATCTTCTTGGAAAAGAATAGGAAGTATCCCCAGGAGTCTTCCAAGACTCAAACTACCCTTTGCTTAAATCCTGTGGGACCCCATGATTGGGCTAAGGAAACCTGGGAAGTGCTTCTAGTGACTTTGAAGTACTAAGTCAGTAACCTTGACCTTGGAGAAGATGGGCATGTCTCTTGTCTGGTTAAAAAAAAAAAAAAAAAAGACTTTGGAAGGTAAACAAGATGAGCAATGCAAATAGCAGGCTCTACAAATAGTGTCAAAGAATCAGACAAGATATCTTGGACTGTGGTTAAGAGGAGGGTGTGATCCTACAAGGGTGCGATCTCACAAGATCTAGGCAGATTCTGTCCAAGCAGAGAGGAAGAGGAGGAGGTAACCAATATAAAACTGGGTAACAAAGGCTGTGGTAGGGATGCAAAGAGACACAATCAGGGAGGTTGCTATAGTAGTCCCTTCAAGATAGCAGGTATTGGAGTTGGATGTAATACTTGGACCTCTCCTTCCCCCCCAAAAAAGTGCACTGTTTTTTTTTTATCATATTTCCCCATTGTTAACAATATCCAAATGAAAAGAAATAGGTTTTAAAAAAAACTTCTATAAACATGAAGAAATGAACAGCATCACCAAAACTGGTGAAATAAGACTCATGTTTTGGTGATTGTAGCAGTTTCCCATTGCAGCTCTACCAGTGACTACAACCTTGGTGGCCTAAAACTACCTACAATTCTTATCTTATAGTTCTGTTGGGCTGAAGTCCAAAATGGCTCTCCCTGAGTTAAATCAAGCATGGCTAGAGCTGCGTTCTTCTTTGGAAGGTCTAGGAAACAATTCATTTTTCTGTCTTGAGGCTTCAGGGGGTTCCTGCATCTCTTGGCTCATGGCCCCCTGCCCTTTTCAGAGGCAGCAACTGCAGAATCTCAAGTCCCTCTGACCGATTCACTTGTATCTGCCACCTATAAGGACCCTTGATTTACACTGAGCCAGCTCTGAGAACCCAGAATAATCTTCCCACCTCAAAATCCTTCACTCAATCAAACCTGCCTTTGGTCTCTCACTCACTCTCTGTCTCTGTCTCTCTCTCTCTCAGCATTCATAATTAAAACATGGACATTGTGAGGGACTGTTATTCCTCTTACCACATAGGAAAGGAAACAACATATTTAAAAGCAATGATGGCTTAGGTGCATGTCAGAAAGTGAAAAGCTCTCAGAAATCTCAAGAATTTTATTTATTTATTGAAAGTAAAAAAAAAAATGAGACACAGAAATGCTGCACTTATGTATGTACATCCTGACCAAATAGAGGTAATAAATTAAATGGCATTTTCCTCATTAATATTATACACATGAAATGGAGGTGAGATAAAGTAGAGATAAAAACATTATAGAATATTGACTGGATGGGTATTTGCTAAAAAAAGAAAACAGGTTAATTCTTGACCCACATAATACCAGTTCCATTTCTCTGAACATAGATTATGATGAAGAAGATTTTCATTCTCAGCTTATTTCTGATCAGCAGAAAAGAAC